ACCATAGATTTTGCCTCAATTTGTAGGGTCAAATATCAACCGTTGATCTAAGGAGACTTGTGGGGTGAGAGAAGTGAGCCATCAATCTCTTTGATCCACCATCATGATTCAAAAAGATGAGCTAAAGCATTATCCTCCCTTTCCTAAATCTATTCCCATCAAATAAGAAAAGCTTATATTTTAATATATCAAATCCTTATTTATTTGATCAATCAATCTTGATTCAAAGAATTAGTAAATATCTCAAATAGTTAACCTTATCACATAAGTTAGTTCCACCTAAAAAGATAAATCAACCAAGAAAATAAACATTCTTTTCAAGAATGTTACGTGGGTGGGTGGAGGCGTGCCACCCTTTTTGTGGCCATGTGGGCCCCACCTAATCCATATCCTTTTAAATTTAAGCCTCATCTTTTATGGAGGTCCCAAATATTTTAGAAAATATATTTTATTTCATATTTAATTTAATTTAATTTTTTTAAATATCTTATATTTTATTTAAAACATTGAAAAATTAATTTCTCTTAATTTATAAATTCAAATGACAAAAATAAAATATCAAAAGATTCACAAAAATTCAAATAAACATTATAAAAATCACATAACATAAAATTAATTAAAATTAATTAATTTTGATGGGAATCGGATCCGTTACATCTAGGAAATTATCAATACATGGGAGCACTCCACCTTCAACTGTGAATCACGATCCGCCTAGCTTTCACAAACTGACCCAGTAGTTCCCATGACCCACAGTCCACTGTAGGGATTCATAATTAGACCACCAAAGTCAGCTAATAGACTAAGGGACACAATCTCAGTTAATGGATTTCAGGTTCTCGCCTAGAGACAAAAATCATGGTCCTCCAGACCATGATACCATGATGCAACCATAACTCTATAGTGCATAGGGGTAGTCTCTCACACATATACACACTTTACCCTCATTAGTGAATCTCAAAACGGCTATCTATGGATATGCCGTGTGATGATATAACGATGAGGTTTTAGCCCTGTCTCTAAAGGCTATTCATCACACACAAAGGCCACACAGTCCCTTGGCTCTCATCTGGGTATGCTCCGATCTCATCAACGGATAACCCACTAAACCTTTCTCAGTAGATCCCTATGCCTAGGTATCTTGGGTTTTTCCAAACCTCGGCTAGCCTAGCTCGTCGACCCTAGACCGAGTATCAGCAAATAACATTTGCTTAGTGTGATCCACAAAAGGACCACACTCCCACTGAGTTTATGTTCCACTATATAAAATGTTGATACAAGCTTTTATAAGGTCTTTAAAGACCACATAACCCAACACGTAAGGGCAATGGATGAAAAGATGGTATCAATCTTCTGCTGCACTCTTGCATAAGAAGCAAAGATTAACAAGAATCTTCCCCCGATACCTTCTGCTGCACTCTTGCATAAGAAGCAAAGATTAACAAGAATCTTCCCCCTTTTTCTCCCCAATAAGCACCCAACGTTGTTTCATAAGCGACAGAAATGCTCGAACTCGATTTGGTGCTTCAATGGCCCATTGTTCCTATTTGTCATATCAAAGATTCTATCATTACGGATCTCAGCATAAAGGGAGCTGACCTAAAATATGGCAACAGGAGTAAGATCCCATGTAAGAGTCTTGCCTATGAGGGAAAAAGCAGAGTGAGCTCAACCTTTGCATCAAGGAAAGGAACTGTTGTACCGTGTTTTCATTCACCCTTCTAACGCTAAGATCAATCTTCTATATGCATTCTATTCCCTGACCTTCCACTAGTTCAGCTATGATAAGCTGTTTCTCGACCGCGAACCTGTAGACCTGAATATTGTCTAGCCATTTCCCTGTTCAGAATTTAGTATGTGTACCATACCCCACTTTCATTCTGCTGTAAACCAAAAAAAGATTAATTTATTTCCTTCCATATTGTGATGCAGACCTACCTGAAGATAGCTTTTTGGGGTAGAAACCATTTTGATCAGTGCCATATTTAAAGAGTATAACCTTTTGCCATTCCAACTGCAGTGTCATACTCACTCTCCAACACCATTTTGTTAGTAAGGCATCATTCATGTGTTTAAGTCTATAAATACCTAAATCCCCCTCTTTTTTAGGTTTGTAGACTTTGCCCATCTTACAAGGTGGTATTCTAACTGAATGGCAGAGCCACTCCAAATAAAGCTGTGATCAAGAACTACAATTTCTTTAAAACAGAAGAGGGTGCTCAGATTAAGGGCAGAAAATAAACTAGAGTATTAGCCAAAGTGAAATTAATCAGAGTGGTTCGGCTAGCAAAGGATAAATACTGGCTTTTCCAACTATCTAGCTTGTATTTTAAAACAAAAGGGCCGCAAACTTCATGTCTTTTCACTTGAACAGGAATATTTTAAAACAACCGGTAATCCCTTCGGTGCTCACTTTAAAATGCACAAGAACACTTGTTGAGGTCCGAGGTCTTAGCTATGCAAATAAAAAATCCCTGCCCACCTAATATGTCGAGGGTCGCTAGAACTGGGGAACCATAGCATGAGGTTATGGCCGGGCTTGATTCTATACTAAGGATCGCCTGATTATGCTTGGCCTGACCCTCTTTTTCTTTGTTATTTCTTTTGTATTACTTTTTTATTTTACTTGGCCTGGCCCGACGTGCTCCATCACATCATCTAGGGCCCATACCTAGGCCAAGCTTTTTTTGGCCTGGTCAAGCCGGACCAGTCTGGACCGGCCCTATGGGGACAAGGGCCAAGGCCTGCCAAGCCCAGTCCCGTTGCCACCTGTCCACTGATTTCTGGTTCAGCCATCTAGGATTGCCCCTCTGGCTGGCCATTAGCTCTTCTCAATGTTTATAGTTAATGATATTCCTTACAATTACCACATGGAAGTCACATAGTCGGACTAGCATATGACAATTTCAATAATCAAAGCGGTGAGGATGCCATATTTTATATTGGAAAAATATCTCTTTACTCCCTAATTTTAACTTCTCTATCTCTTTGGACTCGAGGATAAAAAATATTACTTAGAAGCAAATGACCTTTATTTTTCCTATCTTGCAACCCTTGAATCCTTTTTTTGATAAATTTTTTAACCCCAAAAAAAATTAAAATGACATCCTATCTTGCAAAGGTTTCTTTGTGGGTTTTTTTAGAGAGAGAGAATGAATGATCTCTCATCCTTGGGTCCTTTGCTTCCAAGGGAATGATCTCTCATTCCATGGCTCCATGCCGCACTGTTCTCCGACGGTTAGGATTTCGTGATTGTCTCTCTCATATACGTTGATAGATAGCTTTTCTTCACTAAACCAACGCCGAGTTCACTCTCTCGCTAATTCCTAATTCATTCTCTCTCTAACTTCAAATTGCTCTCTCTAACTCCTAATTCATTCTCTCTAACTGCAAGTAACTCTCTCTCAGAACCAAGAACAAAATTTCCGAAAGAGAGAGAAAGACAGAGAGGCACGAATTCCGTGAAACAAGATACCACAACCTGCAACTCAAATGAAAATCTTATAAAAAAACACAAAACAATGGAAGGAGAGATAAATCTGTTTTTTATTCCCAAAGATTAACATAGACTCAAAATGAGAGAAAATAAAACAAGAAAATGAGAGAGAAACCATACCACTGCAACAATCCCTTATTTCTCCTCACTCACCTGCTCCGCTGAATTTAATCATCCATTACCATTTACCAATTTGGTTAAACCTCAAATGGTATTTAATGCTTAACGCAGAGACCAATTCACGGTAGAGAGAGAAGATGGAGAAGAAGACTTCAGAGACGATGATGAAGGGGCAAGATGGATGAGCAATGGCAAAACAGAGCTCACCCATGCAAAACTCGCCGGATATTCCACCGACATCCTTTCTCCTTAATATAACCGAAAATTGTACGGAAATTCTGTCTTCATTTTCTCTCTAACTGCAAATTACTCTCTCTCTAGATGCAAAACTGAGGCAAAGGCATTTCAGGGTATTGGAACTCAAAGCCAAACCCCCCTGCAAACTCCACTCTCTTTCTGCCCACCCCCAATTGGCATTTGCGCCTTCTGCCTCCAAGAAAAACTGATCAACCTCTCACTCTCTCTCTACCCACCTCTCACCCCCCAACCCATCCCGGATTCAAGTCAAGACACCTCAGAGTTGCACATTTTTGGGGTTGGTAAAATTTCCTCTCATCAAGGAGAGAGATCCACCACCAAGAGAATCGTTTCTCTTTCTTCTTGTTCTTCTCTCTAACATCTTGAGGAGAGAGAAGTAGCCACAACCCACTAGTGAAAGAAGTTCTTCCTCTTCTCTCTCTACCACATTGAGAGAGAAGAATTACTCCAATCCCAACATGAAAGAAGCACCTCTCTCTCACCCAAATTGATGAGAGAAGAAATATCTGTAACGCCACCATGAGAAAAAATCTTCTCTACCATGGTGAGAGAAAAAAAACCCACGTCTAATAATGACAGAAAAGCTTTTCTCGTGAAGATAAAGCGACAGATTATTCCTTCTCTCTCTAAAAATAACCCACAAACGAAGCCAAAATAAGAAGTCATTTTAATTTTTATTGGGGTAAAAAATTCATCAAAAAAGATATTCAAGAGGTCCTTTGTTTCCAAGTAATATTGTTTATCCTTAGGTCCAAAGAAGTAGAGAACTTAAAATTAGAGGGTAAAGAGATATTTCCCTTTTTATATTTATAGACAAATTTTTAGAGAGAGAGAGAGAGGGAAGGCCTTGAGAAACATGTCAGGGAATCGGCATCAAGGACATGAAACGAGATTGGACATCGTGAGCATGGAGACAAAGGCCTCAATTTCAGAAAATTCATGAAATACACATTACTCTGAAAAACCACATTAATGCTTTTTTTATGTATTTTGCCAAAATCGAAGCCTTTGTTTCCATGTCAATCTGATGTCGTTCTAGACCTGTCCACATTAACTGTAGAATTATGAAGCAGCCCAATATCATTACCAGAGGCTGCTTCCTTGCATCCATTTATGAACAAATAAATAAAATAAAATAAAAGGCCTTTTATTTCACTGCAATTATAGTCCAAACCATCGGTCTAAGGTGAGAGATGGAGTGGAACCTAGATAAATTACATTGACCGGGACATATAAATTACATTACAAATAAATCAGATAAATCACCATCATTTTGATGTGCAATGATGAGGCACCAGGATAACAGCAACCAGGCAAGAATAGACGCCCGGCAGGGGTGCCTCCACTCGCAAAAATACAAATCAAGAATGTCGTAGAGGCATATTCTGCAAGAAGGACTTGAACAATATGAATGCTTGCCGAGGGCGATGGAGTGGAACTTCATGACCAGCTCCTGTTATTGTCACAAAAGTCAAACCTCTGTAGACTTGACTCCACCCACCAACCTGCAAAATACGAGATCAGGTGGTATTATTTCTGGAGTGCTCCCTCTCTTGAATGGCTAATCAGAAGAAAGCATTGTATCCCTTACGTATACCCACTACCCACCTTTCCGTTGTCATACCAGGGATACCAGTTCGTCAAGGTAGGGAGTTTGAGTGCGTCTAGAGAGTATCGTGTTGCTGTCACTGGTACAACTGAATCAGTATCACCACTGGAGGAGAATGACCCACCAAGCAAACAATAAGAAGCAAATACTTATAAAAATCTAAAATGGTAATATTATACTCAAGAAGTAAAGAAAATCGATACTACAATCTGTCATATCAAACATGGATGTGGCATCTTTTCAGTAAGAAATTCAGAATAATGGGGTTCAAAGTCTTGTGAAACGATAACAAACCCAACCTTTGGTTAAAATTCTTGAGTTACCAACATTGTAATACATTTCAGAAGCACATAGAACTTCATGTAAATGAAAAGATGCACGAGGCAAAAACTCATTGCATCATATACACTTACATCCAAGGGATTGTGTGCAAAGTCATGAGTTGCACATTCCCCTAGTAGAATTCATTAACCTCAAATGTTTTCTTACAAGTGATATAATTTCAAACGGCATTTTTCTTTTTTGGTAACTACAATAGAAACCCACTTTGTTAACCTTTTCTCAAAAAAAAAAAAAAAAAAAATAGAAAGTCACTTTCAAAAATCAATAAACTAGCCGGCCAAACCAGGAAAATCAGTTCGACAACCATTAGAAACAACTTCATAGTCCCTTTAGAGCTCTGTACAACCTCTATAGAGTGATAGAGCACATTAAGAACTTAAAAGCTTCATACTGCAATCTAGGTGAGCAAATTTACTATAAATCCAGGTGAGAAGGAACAGACGGGCACAAATTTGTGCTCCACTAGATAACTACACCCATCACAACCTTTAACTACACACACTATATAGAAAGAAAAGTTCTATATAAATTTGTGCTACACTTAGATACACCTGACACAAATACAAAAATTGCACTTAAATAAAATAATTTGTCCAAAATACCCATGTAGGTTTAAGGACTATGTTGGTCAATTTATGTTTTGCAAAAGTTTTTTATGCACCTCCTTCAGAAGTGTGGATGCCCAAAATTTCAAGTTAATACATTTTGCATAAAAAATATTAAAACTAAAAAACCGTATGCCATTGTGGTTGTCCATTTTTTCCCCTTGTAACTGAATTATTGCTAGTCCATACTTTTCCTATCCTAAGGAACTCATTTCTATAAATATGTATTTTTTATGCTGTTAACTGTTGTATTACAGAGAGTATAGAAAGTACAATAGAGTTGCTGAGGAAGTCCACAGGGCAGGTCTCATGCCAAAAAGAAGTCATTTCTATAAATATTAGAATATGCTATCAAGTTAATCACATAAACATATCATACACAACATGTGTTCCTGATATATCTATTCTTAGCTTACAATTATGCATGACATAAGCATTAAATAAATGAATGCATGAAATACCTTGGCACTATTATCGGCTCTCGAGTTATAACCTAGGTATGATGCTCTAAAATGGCAGTTAATGGATCTGACATCTAGCTAAGCCAAATGGATTCGGGAGCCAATTGTAAACGGAGATGATAGATGCCCTGATGGATTCAACAGCCTACGAAGTGATACACCCAAGTGTTCCAAGTTTGGTAACCAATATAGGAGTAACGCCTTGTAAGGATGCTAAAGCAGCTTGTGCTGCATTAAAGCTCAGACATCCTGTCATGGGGAGTGAAAAGGTTAATAAGCTTTTACGCCTCATTTCTAATCTTGCTAGCAAAAAAGTTGACGGAATGAATGTGGGCAGATGGTTTTAGAAGATTCCATCAAATATAGATAGCATTGCTTTGTTCCAAGAGAACTTATCAATGCTGCAGTACCTCCAACTTTAGTTGCATTACAGGCACTCCACCTTCACCCTTGTGTCACGTGTCGACATGTGTCATCACTTAGACACCCACACGATACATTGTCCTTGTGTGTACAGAAACTAGAGTAATGACACGGCATGTCAACACATTTGAAAAGCGTGTCTGAATTTCAGACATGCAGGATCACTACTTTTAACTCATTTAAAAAACTATTTCATTCCCAGGTTTTGAACCCATGACCATTGAAGATAGTACCAAAAGTACAAATTGATGTGGTATAAAGTTTAGGAACACTTTAATTGAACCAAAAACAACAATACAACTTGCTTTAACTCAAAACTCTCGCTTATAGAAAGCAAATACACAATTACAGTTCTTTAGCACAATGATACAAACATCTTAGACTTTACATACTACTGAAAATCAACTCTAAAACAGTCCCCTTATGGGGCAAATTACATACCACTCACACCAACTCAAAATTGAAACACTTAGTTACATACAATGGACATACACCTTCACATAATCAAATTATATCAACCAAACTGCCCCAACAGTTGCAACAGAGAATAACAACTATAAAACAGAGGTATTAGAGTGCCAAAAGTACTTAGGAAGTCAATGGTTCGAACCCCTTGTGCTCGGCCCATGATTGGGGCGCTTTTTAGGACTTAATCTTGTCCCAAAGATGAGTGCACGAGTGGTTTATATAACTCAAGGGTATCTATCCAATTTGGGAAGCTTAAACACCTTTGAAACACTTCTTATGGTCTATAATCAATAACAAAATCAACCCACAACAGTTTGCAAAAGGAACTAGGAAGATCCGATCAAAATCGAACAAGATAAAGCAAAACTATGTAGTATAGTCGACCGGACCACCAAAACGGGATTGCATGCAAAAGTGTCGACTCTAAATGATTCAAAGAAATAATAGATCTTTGGAATTTGATGGTTGAATATAAGAAATGCACCAGAAAAAATCGGGTAGAGAAAATCAAGGGCAAACTATGCTCAATCAAAGAATCATCAAGGTATGAAGCTTATAGTCAAATGGATGACTTCCCTATATAAGGCTATCATAAGGATCACATGAAGCAAGGGTAAAAGGTTTACAAAGCTACTGTAACTAAGAATTTTCAGCAAGCTTTGAAGTGAAAGAGGATAAAGAACAATAGAGAAAAACTCATTTGAGGGTTTACCTTGATGATTGCTTAACATGAACTTGATCTCATATAGTAAAGGACCACCTTAAAACTCCAAATATGATCAATGAAACAAGTTCTACAATAGCTGATACATGGAGTTCATGGGAGTTCTTGCTCTTGCTCTCTCTCTCTAGGTTCCTTTTTGCTTGTAAAATTCTTTTTTCCAAAAGATGGGGTTATGTTGGACCAAAAGATTGTATGTATATGAAGTGTTTGAGTAAGATTCAATCTCAACCCTTGATGCACATCATTAATAGCACATGAGAGGCCAATTATCCCTCGCTACTCATCCCCATCCACCACCAAGATGAAGGGATGAGATTTGCCACTATTATCACCTACTAAAACCCTAGTTCAAAGTCCCATTTACCTTCTTACCCTTAGCTCCATCTTTTATTCCAAACATGTCCAAATGTACTTACAAAAAAGTGCTGAGAATGTTCAAGGGCAAAGGGCAAAACAGTAAATGGCATGGCATCATGGCATGAGAAAGGCAAAAAGGAAGTTATGACACCACCAATAAGATCAACCTGACCAACACGCTTCACATGGACTGTACACCTTCACATGTGCCACTCCAATGGTGCATCTACATGAAATATTCACATGCAATGTAACCATTGTGGATATTAATTTTAATAATAATTTTTATCTCAAAAATTCCCTTGGCTTCACACAAGCCAAGTATATCACATGTGTGACAATAAACCATGTGATTAAAATGTAACTTTAAGTTATAACCATATAACATAAGATTTAAAAATTAAATAATTAAGTGTCAAAAGTAGAAGGGGGCCCATGGTGTCACGTGGCCACCCCACTCGAGTGCCACGTGGCATCTGCGTGAATGTCTTCATTTAGAATTAAGGTCAAACAATTTTGAAAGACACATTTTTGTGCTTTAAAAAATTCAGAAATTTTTTTCAAAAATCCCAAGAAATATTAGAAACATGTTTACACAATTTTTACAGCATTTCTTATCATAATTAAATCAAACTAAAAGTATATGTGAGATCTCAATGCTTTGACTTAGTAACGTGAGTACTTCATTGGGCTTTCCATCGGTGTCTCAAGTTGACCCAATGAACCTATGCTCCACAGTCTATGGCAGGGAAACATAATTGGTTACATCAAAATCATTGAACCAGAGCTTCCCACCATCAAACTTCTCATGGATTACAACTGTACCCCTATGGGATATATTACTATTCTATTACAGGAGTCCTCTCAAAGCACATGTGCACAAGCTCTTCCAATGTCGGACAACACATATGGAAGAGTGGCTTCCTATGCGAATGAATGTGCACATGTCATGGAATGGTCTCGTATCAAGATACAAACTCATATCTCTTAAGTCTTGACCATTCCATACAGGGCCAGCTCTCATCACAAGACACTCGGATTCTTTTACACTCGATTGGTAACTCCAAGCCCTAGCTAATCACATCAATTATGAGGCATTCTAACCTATATTGTCTTGACCTAGAGGTGACCTCACACCTCCTAAAGAGATCACTCTCTCAAAACGTAAACTCTCAATTCCTCATATGTACTCGAGATATTAGAACCTAGGCCCCAGTTCGCAAAGCACCCAGATTTTATCTCTCACTCACTCTCACTTAGTGAGAGACTCTTGGCATTAAGGCCTTGAAATGTCATTGCCAATACAAATAACCAAGCCATTATGTTTATATTTGCAATATATGTTACTTCTATCGCTATAAGGTTCAAAATCCCATGCTGTAAATGCATGTGTTGCATTTTATTACTTTATAAGATAAAGTAAAAAATTACAATATTAACAAAGGAGCCCTTTAATGCATGTCCTTTAACACATGCATATGCACATGCACATGCTTATGAATTTTTTGATGGAAAGTTTTTTTTTTTCTCCATATTTTTTTATTTCCTAAAACACCTTTTTGCTATGACAAAAATGCCCCTAGCCATATTATGATACATTTTGCATGTATCCCTCTTTCCGAGTGTTAAAAAGAAAATTCATTCCCCAAAAACCCATCGTTGGAATGTTGATATTTAAAACGGAGATGGGTTGGGAGAGAGCTATAGTGTTATAGTCTCTCCCTC